CAAAAATCCCTACAAAGTGAAAATGCTCTATTAAAGTAAAAATACAAAATATTTTCATCAAATATTTGTAGCTAATAAAGATACTTATTTAAAATATAAACAAATGTGAATTTATAAAAGAATAGAGCAACTACCAAAAACATAAATGAATAAAGCTATGGGAAATTTTATACAAAACATACATTCAAGAAAAAACACAACACAATTAATGAGATTCAAATTAGAGACATGTTATAATAAGATTTTCCCTATCACATTAACAACTACTAAAAAGTTATAATGCCCAATAAGGGCATGAAGAAATAAGCATTGGCATACACCCTAGGAGAAAGAATAAGCCTCTGGCTTGACAGGGTAACTGGGCAATTAACTACATTTCAAAGGCATCTGACTCTTGACCTAGTAATTCTTTAAATATTTATCACCATATATACTTTTACTGATGCATGTACAAGTTAAATCATTATATCATTGTTCTATTGTAAAATCCTAGGAACAGGATACCAGAAATTATTTTTCTTTAATTATGTACATCAAAACCATGAAATGCAAGTCTGTCTTTAGAAAGTTAAATTTATAAGTGCTTTGTTTTGGGAAATTCTCAGTGATATACATAACTGAAAACCAAAAAAGTAACCATTGTGTCTCATATTCTTCTATTTGATAATATAATTGTATAAAAAGTATAAGAAGCTGCTTATTTACACTTGTATTTTTGTATACTGGCCATCCAAACATATTGAATTTTTATCAACTAATACCTAGCTTTAAATAAGTAAAAGCAGAAATAATAAGGTATCAAGAGTATCAGCTGTTTTAAATTAATAAAAAAACCAACAACTGAAATGCAGGTGAACCTACTTGAAAGCAAAACCAAAGAGAATATAGATCTTTACGCAGGCCTCATGATATAGATGGGGCTTCCCTGGTAGCTCAATAGTACAGAATCTGCCATAGCTTAGTGGTAGAGAATCTGCCTGCAATATAGAAGACCTGGGTTCGATCCCTGGGTTGGTGAAGCTCCCCATGAGGAGGGCATGGCAACCCACTCCAGTATTCTTGCCTGGAGAACCCCATGGACAGAGGAGCCTGGCAGCCTACACCCACAGGATAACAGAGTCGGACAAGACTGAAGCAACTCAGCAGGAGCCACAGCATGATATAGCTTAGAGTCCAAAGATTTCCTCTACTAAATGCTTCCAGAGCTGAGGGCAAGAGGGGTGGAAAGGAGGCAGGCAGCTCAAAGGAGGCAAGCAAGAGAACAAAGCTGAGGGGTTTGGTTGTTTTGGTTTTTTGGTCCCACACAGTGTTTATCTAAGATATAACTGAACATGGAAAAAGTCCAGGAACAGCATCTAGTATAGTTGAATAAATCATCTTATCAACTTGTATAAATACATAGAGTTTAGCTCTGGTCCTTGACGTTTTCCCAGAAAGAAGAACTGAAGTAGTTTCTGTGTCGGTAAATTGACACAGATTGTGAAGTACCCTTCACCTGCCTAGAATGTTTATTAAGAATTCCATGTATTCCAACAATAATTTCCATTCACCAAGGACTTACTAATAACATCAGTGTTATTCTTCACTGAAGTAATGCTTCAGTGAATACCTGGATACGGCCTCAGGCTATGTTGGAAAGAAGTTATGGAAATTCTTCCTCTTGTTTTCAAACATTATCTTCCAGAAGAAAGTCAGCCAAGAAAGAAATTCGTTCATTCATATTCCCTCTCTCACCGTGCATTTCATCCCCCCATCTCCCTGTCAGTTTCTCTTGCTGAACTGGGGAATCCCTATTACCTGTTCCCTGCTGTGATCACTGGCTGGTTACACCAGGGCAAGTTCCACCCTTAACAGGAGACATAAAACAAGTTTGTAAATCAGGGAACTGATTCAGCTCCCAGATCTTTTTCTATTCTGAAGACCATGTGGTATCACAGAAAGAAACAGCAAGACTTCCTCTTGTTGCATCCACCAACTGATATCAATCAACTGCTGTATGTGAAATCACTTTATAAATATTAAAAGCACTTCCAATGTAAGGTAGAATTATTTGGCTCAGTAATAATAAGAATGGCTGCAATGCACTGGAGTGAGCACAGTCTTGTCCCTACCTCAGCTCTTTACAAGCCTCTGCACTATTCTGCCTTTGGCTTTATTTCTCCATAGATATGACTTTTATCTTTCACTTTTACAAACATCCATCTTTTCTCCAAAAAATGCAATCTGCTCAGAGCAGCTAACAGAGAGATTCACTATTAACAAGGGGTGGTTAGCAAGCATCACCAATAGTAGCTGAACTCTTTTGTTTAAAGGCTAATCATTTATATTTATTTTTATAGTTTCTTTACAGTCATTTTGGTGATCTAAAATCTTGTAATGGCTTCTTGCTAAGCAGAAACAAGCTTGAACGAGCATCTTGGTGTTTCTGACAAATAGTTTCCACTGACATTCTTGTAAGTCAAGGGAGAGAGAAATGTAGATATCTGACTTCCAAAATTTGAAGAACTTCAATCTACTACACGTTCCAGAAAGCAGTCATAGGATTAATAAATGAGACCAGCTCATTATGTGGTCAATATTAGATAATATTAAATAATATCAATATTAGATAATGGTTTTCATTTAATTATCATTCCCCCCCATTCTGATATGTTCAAAATTGATTAATATTATCAAAACTTAACCAAAACATGAATTATCTTGCAAAGGTGACATCAAGCCAGTTAAATTCCATTTTCTTTTTTAAGGACAAAAAGATAAATACAAAAACACCCACTTTTTTTTTTTTAGCACTATAAGGACTTAGCAAAACAATTTTAGATTTAATTTCAAGAACTTGTGCTGAGGAGTTCCCATGGATTACTACCTGAACTAATTTCCAGCTTGAGATTGCCAAGCCAGGGTAACCCAAAGATCCCCAACTCAAAAAAAATGTTTATTTTTTAAGACAGGAGGTTTGTCCCACAGATGGTTTTACTCCACATTGTGTTTATTTTAGAACCAAAAACGTCAATTTTCATAGAATAGTCAAGGAAAATATCATATGAATTCAACTGATTTTGATAAGTTGACACTCCATATATTACCATGAAAAAACAAGGATAAGTTAGAAAAAAGAAAAGGAAAGTTCAGCTAGAAAAAGAGAAGTCTCTACATGTCAAAAAAGAAATAAGCAGACAAAATCATATCACTCAAGAGAAGCTGACTTTTCAGGGCCAGAAACGTTTTCAATTGAAAATTGGCACTAATATTTGAGCTGAATGCCTCTTAGTGAACTAAAACTATGTGTTAGATATGCATGTGTTACATAAAGCTTCCTTCATGAAGCCCTTAATACTGCAATGTTTCCTATCTTACAGAAAATCCAGAGACACAGCATAAAAGATTAGTCTCTCTGGACATTTTAGTGGAAAAAAGAGCACGCACAGCACAGAAAAACGTCAACCTTGTGTTCAGTGGGTAGTGTATGATCCTACACCTTTCCTTTTCCCATCATGCCTTAGAGCCATGGCCCAAGTATGTGTCCCCAAGCATTCCAACTTGATCCATCCCAAAGTTTCTTGTCTTTGGAGAGGGCTTAAAACCTCCTGGGATTTAAAATAAAAACCTTTTAAAGTCTCGTATCCTATCTCTGCATTTCTAACTCTCTTCCGGTTATAAATAAGAGAGCTCACTGGGAGTACAATTAAAGTAAAAGTGGGTAATATTTTGTAAGTATATAAGAAATTTTCGTAAAACTGAAGGGCAAGAATATGACCGTCCCTTAGAAAAGAATGTATCTAATAAGTAAAGTTTATAAGAAATTCAAGGAGTATTCTATCTGGCTACGTCTCTGTATCTCTGCTCTATCTTTTATGCTGTATACATTTTTTTTTCCCTCAAACCAGTTCACATCATAGGCAATGTATGAAACACTACGTAGGACAGACTTTAGCAAGTTTTATACTATTTCTGCCAAAACAAGGCTGGAAATTCTGGATTCTTGGCTATACTGCCCATAATTCACTACAGCTCATAACTTATGTGGATTAAAAATAAAATTGTGGATAAAATACAAAACCAAAAACCAAAATTAGTAATGAAGTACTCTTAAAAGTAAGCCCTGTGCAGAAAAATGAAATGGAGGAGTGAAGCAGAGATTTGTGTTTCATCTTGGTTTTTCCCTTCTTATGACTTTGCCTTGAGGGGAGTCCTAGTCACAGACTATCATAGAAAAAAAAAAAAAAAGGTAAGGCAGATGAAACTGATAGAAAGCTCATTAGCCTGGACACAGGGGTGACAGGGGCCCTTGGGCTATAGGACATACACAGTCACAGAGGGGAGCTAACCCAAGAAAGCCTTCCCCTAATTCGGTATATGAAACCTCAGGTCTTATCCACTCATGCCCTTGGCTTGCGCTTAGCAGCTCAGCTGTTTCCCACTCTTTGTAACACACTGGGCTGTCAGGCTCCTCTGTCCATGGGATTCTCCAGGCAAGAATTCTGGAGAGGTTGTCATGCCATCCTCCAGGGGATCTTCCCAACCCAGGGACTGAACCCATGTCTACTGTATTCCAGGTGGATGCTTTACCCGCTGAACCATTACAGAAGGCAAGGTAGTAAAACCTAAGCGTTCTGGATTCTGGTTTGAAGCACTCCCACAAATCTCAGACTAACACCTGACATAGGCGTAATAAAGACTCATACAAATACAGTAAAGACTTAGAGAGTGAAACTAATATTTGAACCAGTGTGGATAGTGAGTGAGTGACAACTTAGCCTAAAATTGCTGACGCTTCAGTTTACATTCCTGCGGCAACACAAAGCTCCGAGTGATCCAGAGGAATCACATTACAGTTTTGATAATCCAGTCACAGTCCCACACTCCTTATTTCTCCTCAGTTCAAATCTCCAACACCTCTTCCCTCATCCTCCCAGTCACTTCAATGCCTGGCTGCATAAATCACTGAGAAAACAAGAGAGAAATCCCCGCCAGCTTCCAGAACAGAATGGCTTCCATACCTTATTTGTGTCACCTGCAAAGCTCATCAACAAGTCTCAGGAAATACAAGTAGAATCTGGGTCATAAAATAAAGTCTAACTTTTTTTTTTCCTTTTCCTTTTCCTGGTTCTAGCTTTGCTTGCTCATAGGATGCCACGTGCAGAGCCTCACGCCGGGGCTTCACACCTGAGTTCCTGGCGTGAAATGGCTACGCCCAGGGCTCCGCTCAGCAGGGCGCGGCCATTGCAGAGATGCTGCCCCTGGCGCTTCGGTCTCGCGAGAGGGGAGCGGGCTGCCGCTGCGCCGAGAACTCCGCCCCCTCCTCAGGCCGGAAACCGCGCTCTGTAAAGCGCGCTCTGTAAAGCGGCCCCGCTGCGGGGCGCATGCGCTCTAGAGCACTGGTCCCTCACGTTTTCGCACCAGGGCCCAGTTCTGAGGAAGACAGATTTTCCAAGGACACTGGAGTGCGGAGTGGTTTCAGGCTGATTCACATGCATTGCATTTACCGTGCACGTTAGCTCTGTTATTATTACCTCAGCCCCACCTCAGATCAGGCATTCAATCCAGGAGTTTGGGGACGGCAGCCTAGAGCCTGAGCTCTCCTCTCTGCCCTTTCAGCAAACAACAAAGGTTTCCTTTGCTTCTGTTGCCTCTGAGGACACCAGCAGAAGGACCTTACCTGGGGACAGACTCCGGAGGGCCAGTAACGCTTGCATCTACTAAGGCCCTATACTTGCCCCATTATCAGGAATAAACTGCCTGTTTTTTGTCTTTTTTATAAAGTCCTTGCCTGCCTCTGGGCACTAGCTCCCATCCTTTTCAGGAAAATAATCTAGCAGTTCTCTCCTCTATATGCTTTTTTTTCTTTTTTCTTTTTGGCTGTGCTTGGTCTTCACTGCTGGGCACAGGCTTTCCCTAGTTGCAGCGAGTGGGGCTACCCTCTAGATGTGGTGTGTGGGTTTCTCATTGTGGCGGTTTCTCTTGTTTCAGATCATGGGCTCTAGAGTACTCAGGCTTCACTAGTTGCAGCACCCAGGCTTACTTGTCCCACGGCATGTGGAATCTTCCCGGACCAGTGATCAAACCCATGTCCCTTCCACTGGCAGGTGAGTTCTTAACCACTGGACCAGGAGAGAAGTACTCTCCTCTTTATTATCAGACTTTTTTCTCTGTTGTTTATTTTTTGCCAGAATACAACCACAGTTCCATTCCTTCAATCTTAAAAAAAAAAAAAAAAATTTTCTGAACGCTATTTTTCTCTTAATTCACTTTTTTTTTCCTTCCCTTTAGAGCTAAGTTATTTTTGTGAATTTATTAAATCCGCTGTCTAAAATTCTCTCTCATTCTTTCTTGAACTGACTTTGATCAGACTTTTTATACCATATCTTATTCACACTGTGAAAACTGTTCTTACAAAGATCACTGGGTACTTTCACATTGGTAATCAACCGGTAGATTGATAAGAAGCATTTGACAGAGTTGATCATGTTCTTGCCCTCAAAGCATTTTCATCACTTGCTATCCAGGATAAAAGCACTTACCTGGTTTACTTCTATATCCCTAGATGCTCATCCGTCTACCTTTTAGATTCTTCTAAGGTTCTACTCAGCTTCTGCCCTGGGCTCTCTGCATTAAGTGTCTACTCCACTGGTGGCCTTATCTAGTGTCATGAATGCCATTACATTGAGTATATGCTGAGGACTCCCAGATTCAATATTTCAATCTGAATCTTTCCCTTAATTGTCTCCTTGAACCCATTGCCCTAATTAGGATATAGAATTGAATGTCTGCTAAGCATCTCAAAATTAAAATGTGCAAACTGAACTCATAGTCTTCCTTCAAAAAGACATTGTGGCCTGGTTGTCCTTATATTCCTGACAGTCCATCATTCTAGATACACAGGAGAAAAACATTGAAGTCTTCTTGACTTCCTTTTCTCAAGCCCAATATCCAGTCTGTTGGCAAAAATTATTTTTCTACCTCCATATTAGTGGATCTGATAACTTCTTGCTACCTCCACAAGTAACAAGCTAGCTTATGTCACTTACATCTCTTGTTTCAATAGCTTTCTATTTTATTCTGCCTATACTAACCTCAAAAAGTGAAGTGATATGAAAGTCGCTCAGTCATGTCTGACTCATTGTGACTCTATGAACTATAAAGTCCATGGAATATTCCAGGCCAGCATATTGGAGTAGGTAGCCTTTTCCTTCTCCAGGGGATCTTCCCAACCCAGGAATCAAACCAAGGTCTCCTGTATTGCAGGCAGATTCTTTACCAACTGAACTATCAGGGAAGCCCAATCTCAAAATAACAAAACAAAACAAAACAAAACACTGTAATTAGCCTGATACAACATAAGTTGGATCACAGTACTCCTTTGATCAGAAAACTTTAATGACTTTCTATCTCATTCATGTTAAAAGCCAAAGTCCCACTGTTGATCCACAAAGCTAAGATTTTTTTTAAATTAATTTATTTTTTATTGAAGGATAATTGCTTTATAGAATTTTGCTGTTTTCTGTCAAACCTCAACATGAATCAGCCATAGGTATACATACATCCCCTCCTTTTTGTACCTCCCTCCCCACCCCACCCCTCTAGGCTGATACAGAGCCCTTGTTCCAGTTTCCTGAGCCAGAAAGCAAATTCCTGTTGGCTGTCTATTTTACATATGGTAATGTAAGTTTCCGTGTTACTCTTTCCCTACATCTCACCCGCTCCTCCCCTCTTAAGCTATCTAACATTTTTGATCTTATCTCCTCCTCTTCTCCTCCTTTCTCCTATTTACAATCATATTGACTTCCTTGATTCTTCTAATATATGCTAGGCATATTTCTAACTCGTGGACTCACCAACTTACCTGTGGCTCACCCCCTCTGTCCATTCTTTTCTCTCCACTGTAGAATGTAAGCTTCTTGAGGGAAAGATATTGTGTTTGCTTCATTAACTGTTGTATCTGGCATATTGCCTGTTTCACAGTTAGCCCTTAGCTGAGTGGGTGAGTCAACTTTCTGTAGCAATTTAGCCGTTATCAGCTCTCACGATAGGGATGCATTGCACTGTACTCAGGAGGGCACTGAACCCAGAATCAATGGACCCCAGTCCCTCTGTACTCTCAATTTAACTCACTTATTCTTTCTTAACCTCAGTATTCTCATGTGTGCAGTGTTTCCTTTCTTAGTTTGGTTTTGGTTTGTGAGTGTGCTTGTGTGTGCAACAACTAATACAAACTTCATAAAACATCAAAAGTATACAAAATATTATATACAAGTAAGTTTATCAGTATTTCTATCCTTGTACCATGATTTCTAATTGATGTTAAATATAAAAGTAAGATAATATTACTATCATTACCTTATATCTGAAAGTCTACCTAAAAAATACAAATAAAAAATAAAAGTCTACCTAAAAAATGTGATAGATCAATTACAATTATTCTATAAATTCAAATATGAAAAATTGAGTCTCACAATTATTAAAGAACAACCACAGTGTCACAAAGTACTTACTAGAGTGCTTACAGTCATATTTATCAAATGTTATCCTTGGACCACTTGGATCAGATTTCCATCATTATAATGCACACTTCTGAGTCCCACTCTGGACTTATATTTGGAATCTCTGAGATTGAAGACAAGGGACACACTTTTGAACAAAAACCCTATGTCACTCATATATATTCATGTTTAAGAACATATGTATTACAGAAAAACAAGAGCAACAGTTTTTGAGCAGCATGACGCACTTAGGGATGTCAGTAATATTGAAAGTGTTTGCACATAAGGGAAATTAGGTATTATATTTTACTTGTAAATATTAAGTTCCATATGAAGATGGAAATAATAGCTGTCTTTGTTTGGTCAGCCCCAAAAAGATAAGTTTACCTGACTTGGAGTTCTACTCTTTAAAATCTATCTATATATTTCTAATTAGTATTCTGTTCATAAAGAAGCACTCAGGGACTTTAATCAGCTACCAAAATTTATAAAAGGTAAGACATCTACACTACAGTATTTTAGCAATTCTTAACTAGACTTTGTATTATTTCCAGAAACTGAAAAAATGCTTAAAATAATACAAATATTTCTTGCAGGGGGACTTTGAGGACTAGGCATGATATGGTAATTTTTCTTTGTAATATTTACAATTATTTCTTTTTTTGCAAAATACATAATTCTAGAATAAGTATTATTATGTTAGGTATATTTTCCTCTTGGAATTCAAATGTAAAATCTTGTTAAATAATGTCCCCATAGTTCAGGATAGAAAAGAGAAATTAAGGTTGCTTTTAAAACCATATTATATAATTACCAATCCCTGAATGAGCCAGAAGTCAATCCATCCATGTCTAAAAGCAACAGCTGCAGTGTTGACTTACTATCTTAAACATAAGTTTAAAAAATTATTTCATGGAGAACTAAAATTGTGAACTGGAATAGAATGTTTATGTTTATTTGATCTGTTATTGGCATACTTTCTATTAAATATTTAGTTTTCAAATGCCAATTCCCATGGCATGTATGCTTCTCAGAGATTCCGAAGGCTCCATCTATAGGTTCATAAGACTCAGAGATTTCATGCCACAGAACTTTCACAGTAGACACTCAATTATTTTGTATAACAATTAAATGTGTACAAATAACAGCAAACACATCTTCTTGTTAGATGAACAAGGTAATGTAAAATAGGATCTTCGTACATGAGAACTGATGCAAATCTTGTCTAATGTTGATTCCTGTGTTTTGGTAACCTACTGTGTTAACAATACTGTAAAATATGAGAGCTGAACAGAATGTTTGACTTTATCCTATCATCTATTCTAAAATCCACTGTTGTTCTATTCATAATTACTGAATGTTTGGGTCATAATTACTTAAAGCTAAACCAGGAAGGCCACCTAAAACAACAAATCAGTGAAGAAGTGGGTTGTTGTAATGCACTGTGGAGAAGGGATTATGACGGGTCATTGGAGGCTGACCCGCATTTATCGGAAGCATTTTGCTCAGAAGAGAAGGCGCAGGTGTACAGCCAGTGAAAAACACTGGGCAGAGCCTCTGCCCACTCCTATGAGAGAATTAACGCTTAAACTGTTAGGACAGTGTCTTAGTCGATGCGAGGAAAAACTGAACCTACTGCTGCTTGACAGGGAATGAAGCAGCTGAATCAACAGATACCTCTAAGAAACAGAAAGGAACTTTCCATGTTCGATTGTGATTTTGATCCTGAGTAAAAAGGATAATTCTGCCTTTTCTACTTGATTA